TTCACACAAATACAACCATGGACAAAGCAGTGGATTAATGTTAGTGGTTTGTTCTGTTAGATATATGCAATGAGCTTTCCTGACAAAATCTGAGCAACATCTTTGAAAAGTACCATGAAGATCTGTATTTTGAATAGCTTAATATTTGGTTTTGTCTTAAACAAAAAGAAATTCAGAATACACAAACTAATGCAGGTAGAAGATAAGACAGCAGTGTCTACTTGTGACCTAGATGGAAGAAAGCTTTTGACTTCCAAACAGAATTCAAGGTACTGGTAAAAGATTTAAAAGAAAAATGATTATGTGCAAAGTCTCTTTAATGTACTGTATATATTATTTTTATCCTAAATTTAATTGGACTTTAGAGATAAACAGGTCTCTTCCATGTATTTTTAAATGCAACCCAGTAAGTTGAAAGAGAGTTGAAGAAGTCAAAGAAGAATGAAAAAAACCTGTTAAATTAAAATAAAATAGTGGGCATGTTAGAAAGAGAGAAAGATTAAGTTTGGGGCTAAACAAAGAGTTAAGTCATAGACATATGAAAGACCTCAAGTCAGGATGTGGTACTCAAGAGGGAGAGAGAGAGAGAGAAAAGAAAGGAAGGATACTTTTAAAATGGACAGGCAGGGAACCTCTTTCCATCTGCTAGCAAAAAGATTATTTGTGACAAAGCAAAAGATAAAGGTAAAAGTCATGACACTTTCCTTGGGAGCAACTTGCCTAGCTGAGATTATACCTCTTGAATCTTTGGGCTTGGGAAAGATCCAAGAGTTTCAAGTTCCTTCCTGGATAAAAGGAGATTATCAAGTTTGAGCCATGATGGCACAGTGGTTAGAATGCAGTACTGCAGGTTACTTCTGCTAACTCCTGGCTGACTGCAATTTGGCAGTTCAAATCTCACCAGGCTCAGGGTTGACTAAGCCTTCTGATTCTTATGGATTCTTATGACTGATAACACCTTATAAAGGTAATTTTTATTGTTCTATGTGCCTCTTACATACTCCTACCTAGGTCAGTAATGCATACTGTGCTCTATTTTTACTTGGCTATTAAATGTAAAAATCGATGTATCCAGCCTTATTAACCTTAATTGCTTCACCATTATCTCCCTGTAATGTCACAAAACATTAAGTGTATATTCCCATGGTTGTAACCTTTGTAACATAAATAAATGGACTTTGATTTACAAGAGAGAGAGAGAAAAAGAAATTAGTGATTCCTCAAGCCTCCTTTATTTAGTTAAGAAATCTTTCTTTATAAAAAAAGATTGAACCATGATTTTTCTCCTAATGCCACGACTCATTATACATGCAACAGACCTTCAGAAATTATTCTCCATGTGTTCAAATACCACATGGAGAATTGAACTTAGAAATATTTGCTCCATATCTCTATTCGTCTCTCATGGCCTTTGCATAAACTGGAACCTAGAGTACACAGGAAACCATTTCTTAAAAAATGGTTCCTGCGATGCAGTAAAATGTGTCTGATTCTCAGCTTTGGAAAAATATAGTCTTTATTCTTGTGGGTTAACCATACCCAAGATAGATATATTGATTTTATTATGAATGCAGATTATATTTTCTTTTGCCTATTAACAGGATAAAGGCTTCTGATAGTATTACCCAGAGAATCCTACAGATTTCCTATGACTATTTGTTATTAAGTTTTGTATACAATTGCTTAATTAAGGTAATTATACACACATAAAATGCAATTTTCATAGCTTATCATATACTACTCCTATATATATTGGTGAAGTTTATCCCAATATTTTGGTTAAAATAAAAAATTCAGCTGACAATTTTCTACCCTCCAGAGAATACATATATACACACCCCTCTGCTTTGGCAGGTTTTATCATATTGCACAATAAATAAAAAGGAAACATAATACCACACAAGAGGTTTTCATGCATAGAAATTCCAGTTGATTTGTGAATATGTACTATAGGAAAATGCCAGCAACCTACCAAACAATCTCAACAAAATAATAGTGACCAAGTTACAAACTAAGGGGACATATAATTCAAAATTCCAGCTACTAGTTATTAATTGTATCAAATGTACTGTTAAATTATTGTTTTCCTTCTTATCACAACGTAATTCTATTGGACAATTTAGATCATACAGTGGAGGAGTGTTGGGATGATATGAATGGATCTTGTCTCCAATTGCCTGATGGTAGATCTGACTGTTATCTTCTTTCCAGTCACTGGACAATTGGCATGCATAACCATTTTTATTATGGCTGCAAAACTACGTATCTACACAGCCTATTTTTTTTCTTTTGGGGATGGGAGGTTGGACATAGGAATCTCAATAGTATGGAAAATAAAATGCAGTTTTTTTTCAGAAGATCAATACTACATTCTGTTTGGGTAAACAAAAGAAAACAAAGAAAGTATTCACCCCTTCAAAGACACCAGCAGACTTGTATCATGGGTAAGTACTTAGTTTCAATGAAGCATTTCTCAAAGGGTAGGATTTTGGGAATGTTGAACTATTCCATGAGAGTGACTTGCACTTTTTAGAAACCACCACACGATTTCCAGTTTTTGACTCTAGACTAAAAGCATTTTGGTTTGTGAATTGGGGGAAGCACCATATATTATTGAGCATTTTAATGAAAGATGGCTTACTATGGTAATAATTACATTGGGCCTTGGAAACCAGTGGTTACTAAATGGGCTTTTATGATCCAGATCTCTAAAAATGTAATTAATAACCAAGCAACCACATTTATTAAATCATTGATTTATTTTGGTTTTTAAGCATACAAGTTGATAAATACACTTTGAAGAGCTGGAATTAATAGTTCATAAGCTAGCACAGACATTTTAAATAGTGAACAATCTCAAAGCTAATACAAGGATTTTGAGAATTTATCAGCATAAAGATAATGCAGATATTGAACAATTAGAAGTTTAAAGAGATCTTCAAACAGGTTCATTTATTATCTTTCAAGTCAAAATGTTGTCTTCCCTCCAATAGCTAATAATAGAACTCCCAAAAAGCACCTGTATAAACAACTTGTGCTCTTCCTACTATCACTCTCAGTAAACAAACTGAAAGAACCTTGAATCTCAAGTGATTAAAGAGAAAGAAGAAAAAACAATGTATCCAGCCTCCAGCCCCTTAGTGGCAGTGTGACTGCTTTTCCTGCTGTTGTTACAACCCTCTTTATAATCCTTCTTATTATCTTCTTTATATTCCAACCTTAAGAAAGAAAGAAACCCTTAAATGGAGATAAAAAACATTCCAATCAATCCAATCAAGCATTATAAAAAAAGAAGGAAAATTTTAATCCATAGGTGTAAGCAAAAGTGGAAAAAGAAGAAGAAAAAATTAATCCATTCATTTTAAAAAACAGGGAGCCTTTGCAAAAATTCCATCCATGAAAAAAAAAAAGATAACACGCTAAGTTTAATGTAGATTAATTTCATCGCTTACAGTCTTCTATCTTCAATTTTAATTTAACTTAAATTTTTTGGGGTAGTCTCTTTTTTAAATAATAAAATTTCTTCACCAATTTGACACACTTTCTCTTTTTACTTTCTTCCTGTTCCGGAGCTGTCCCAAATTCAGCAGCTTCATTAGCTATGTTTTTGTTGCCCGAAAAAAAGGCTATTCCTGGATCTTTCAGGGACTTGGTGGTGTCCCTGAGATCAGCAGGCGGTGCCCTTCTCAATCACTGTCTCTGCAGGCCGGTTTAGGTCCAGCAGCAGAAATATCGACTTCGATCTCGGAGCACCAAGATAGCACATCGTGCCATCGCAACGTCAATCCCTTTCTCCTAGTCCTGAAAATTTGTTGGAAAATTTCTCCTTTCTCTGGCAAAATTAAGAAAAATCCCCCACCAGGTCTAATTTACTGAGCAGTAAACTTACACACACCAATCCTAAGTAGGAATATTTCTGTTAACCTGCTCAATGCACAGTTTGTTCATCTCAGTGAATGCAGCCCAATTTGTGATGTCAAGGTCAAACTGACCAAATAGTACAGATATAGAAAGAGATCTTTTGGTTACGTTTGAGGGACACAGGGACTTATTGTTTTTCCGTTTAGATTTTCTTGCTACTTATTATTGCTTACTAATACAGAGATCATCTCCATGCATATTTTGCCTGAGGAAAAAACAATCAGAAAGCATAATATTTAGTAGCAATCCACTGGTTGCTAAGAAAAAGGCAGGATAAAAGGCAAAGTAAACTTGTTGACATTAATATAGTGTAAACTCATTGACATTAATATTCTTTACACAATTTTATTACCATTCAAAATAATCTAACTTCTTTTCATAGACATAAGATTTAGATACAGTAGCTTGTTTCAACAACATTCTACTCATTCAAATATGTACCTGTTGCTGTACTTAATTAAAATCGCTGTGATATTGTGCCAATGGTAAATATATATTGGAATAGGCAGGGGAACAAATGAATTATTCTGAATGGTGAACAGTTTCCAGAGTTTTAACATTTTTCTTAGATTTTCATAGATATTTTTGTAATGTATAGTAAAGTTTACAGGCTGATCACAACCTTCATACTCCAAAAATTATGTTACTGTAAGTTACTTAGGGAAACTTATAGTAACATAAGGTTAATAGCAGAGAGCAAAATTATATATATTTCCCCCCCTTGGGTCTAATTCTAGTGGAAACTAACTTCCTAACCCACACACATTCAACTCTAGTTAAAATGTATGGAAAATATGAATAATATATCCTAATATCTATGTTTCTTAAGTTATCCTAGTCCCACTAAAACCCTTCCTCAGGATGACAGAATGTTATTATAGACAATCCTCATTAGCAGTCACAGTTGGGACCAACATTTCGTTGTTAAGTGAAGCAGTCTATAGTGAAACTGCAACTGTGCTTATGATCTTATTCTAGCTTCCCTTTGCTATTCAGATCTGCAAAAGTTGTAAATGGAATGACTGGTCATAAAGTTACTTTTTCATTACTTTCTTAATTGCAAATAGTGGGTGTATGAGATGGTTGCTAAACAAGGAGTACCTGTAAGTACCAATTATTTTTGTCAATTGTAAGAAGAGACAACTGTTTCAGAGTTAGTTCTTCTTTACATGTCATAGCAATAATTACAGACATGGAAGTTATTAACCAACCTCCTATCCAATGGAAGAAAATAAAAATATTACAGTCTTTAATACATAATAAAGTAGCTTCCATTATTCTGGAAACACATTTAATCCCAAAGAAGATAAATTATGAAAAAGATTCATCATGGATATTTTGATAGGTGTATAATGCATGACATGCAAAATGCCTACCTTGGTATTTTTCTGCAACACATATATGAACAGGAGAAGGAACATGTCATGTGAATGCAAGCCCTTGCGTTAATGTATGTGTGCACGCATGCACACGCACACAAACAACCATACATGTACATATACTGTACATACACATGTATGTGCATATATACATACATGCATACACCTATGTTGATCACTGCATTTTAATGCATTTGCAAACTTTTTCTGAATGTGTTCCTGTCAAATATTGATGCTCATATCAAATTGAGAAAATCTGTCTTATCTACAACTTCTAGCCACATGGTATTCCATTAAAATATTTTTAAAAAAATTTAATAGCTGTTTTAATAAAAGTAATGCTGCACCCAAATAATGGGAAATTTTTATTATGTCCTTGCATTTTCTTTTAAAAAAATATATATTTTATTATTATTATTTTCCTTCTACAACACCTTACAGTCATTATATCAACATTATTATGTCATCATACCTGTACATGTAAATATTATTTCACTTCTATGTTTATAAACNAATCCAATCAAGCATTATAAAAAAGAAGGAAAATTTTAATCCATAGGTGTAAGCAAAAGTGAAAAAAGAAGAAGAAAAATTAATCCATTCAGTTTAAAAAATAGGGAGCCTTTGCAAAAATTCCATCCATGAAAAAAAAATAAAAACAGGATAACACACTAAGTTTAATGTAGATTAATTTCACCGCTTATAGTCTTCTTTCTTCAATTTTAATTTAACTTAATTTTTTGGAGGGTAGCCTCTTTTTCTAAAAATAAAATTTCCTCACCAATGTTCTGGAGCTGTCCCAACTTCAGCAGCTTCATTAGCTGCGTTTCTATTGCTGGAAAAAAGGCAATTCCTGGATCTTTCAGGGACTTGTCCCTGAAATCAGCAGGAGGTGCCCTTCTCAATCACCATCTCTGTGGGACAGTTTAGGTCCGAATGGACTGTTCAGCAGCAGAAATATTGACTGCGATCTCAGAGCACCAAGATTGCAAGTCGTGCCATCGGGACGTCAGTCCTTTTTTTTAAAAACTGCCAACCTTCTGATCAACAAGCTCTGCCCCTGAGCCACCACCTCCCTTTAGAATATTTAAATTTAATTTAAATTTAGTAATTTAAAAGATTTAGATGATGATCTAAATTACACAATTTAGAAGATCATAAAAGCCAGTTTTGTTTCACAGAGTCTTCAACTCACTCAAATGTCATTGGAATCAGTCTTAATGGATTGTTGCTGTTATTGCTGTTGTTGTTGTTACTCTTGGCTGATGTCTTTAACTCACCCAGATTTGTTTGATTTGGGTTCACATCAAAACAAAACAAAAATGAATAAACTGAGCGGAAAATATTATCTCAGCAAAAATAATAGAAATATATACATAGCTAAATATATTCTCATTCTATCAAACTGTCTTCCTAAGCCATATATTGTCTAATGAGTTGCAAAAACTAAACTAACTTTATTCTGTTTTTGTTCAGATGCGGCCCCTTTCTCTGTGTAATCCTCATTGCCGTTTAGGGTATACTAAGTCCAAGAAGGAAGGGGAACAATTCTGCTGCTATAATTGCATTCCCTGTTCAGATGGGAAGATTTCAGATAGGGAAGGTAATGAATAGCTATATAGAGAGGAAAGCTTGTGATCAAATTTGGCCGCATTCAGTATTTCTGTTCTTCCAAAATGTACATTGCATGCCAACAAAGCTTGCTCTGAATTCCTAAGGCCTCTTCTCTTTTCTTCTCTCCTCTCCTCTTCTCGTCTCTTCCACCACTCCCCCCTCCCCTCACGCCCCTTCCTCTTCTCTCCTTTTCTCTCCCTTCACTTTTCCTTTCCCCATCTCATCACTTCCCCTTTCCCCTTCTCCTGCCTGACTACAGTATTTTCTTCTTAATTTCCTCCTTTTCAACCTTCCTATTTCAGAAGAATTAACTCCTTCCAGTGAGCTAGAATTTCCTTTAGTGTATTGTTTTTGCCAATTTTATTTTTTTGTTTCTTTTTTAAAAAAGAGTTGACATTTATTTTACTTTTTATGAAGAATTTGGTGAAAATCCACTAATAAAGAAATCATTAATAAAGATATGTAACATAAGTAGCTCTAGTTTTATACTTTTTAAATTCATTTTCTGTATCTCTATGAGATAGTAGCTAGATTTGGGAGGTGACTGGAAAGTATTTCAGCATAAAAAGAGATAATCAGAATAACTATTACTCTTAATCTATTATTTCATCTACGAAAGGACAAATTCCATTTTCTTCTCTTCTTCAAATCTTCCTTTAAGATTTTTATTTAAGGAAAGTGATTCAACTTTGGATCATTGCCAACAAAATTGTGGTGGTGCAGTGGTTAGAATGCAGTATTGTAGGTTAACTCTGGCTACAGCCAGGAATTCAATCCTGACTGATTCAAAGTTGACTCATCCATCCTTCCAAGATCAGAAAATGAGGACCCAGATTGTTGGGAGCAATAGCAATAGCACTTACAGAGTCAGCATATTGGCCCCAAAAATTTGGGTCCTTGTTTTACCCACCTCGGAAGGATGGAAGGCTGAGTCAACCTTGAGCCTGGTGAGATTTGAACTGCCAAATTGCAGTCAGTTGGCAGGCAGCAGAAATAGTCCGCAGTACTGCACTCTAAAAACTGCACCACTGCTGACATTGTAAACCACTGATGGAGTGCTATAAAGCATTATGGAACACTATATAAGTCTATGCACTACTATTACCAGTGCTATTGCTATACTGAAAAAGTATGAATGTATTGTCTTCTTTTTCAGATGTAGACGATTGTTTTGAATGCCCTAAGGAGCAATACCCAAACAGATTCAAGGATGGATGCCTTCCAAAACAAATAACCTTTCTGTCTTATACAGAACCATTGGGGATCATCCTGGCTATGTTTGCTCTCTGCTTTTCTTTCTTCACAGTTTTGGTGCTTGGAATCTTCATGAAACACAAAGAAACACCCATCGTCAAAGCCAATAACCGAAGCCTCAGCTATATTCTACTATTCTCTCTCCTATTCTCTTTCCTTTGTTCTTTGCTGTTCCTTGGCAAGCCTGAACCGTGGAGATGCCTCCTTCGGCAAACTTCCTTCAGCATGATTTTCACTATAGCAGTTTCTTGCATATTGGCCAAAACCATCGTAGTGATTTTTGCTTTCATGGCTACCAAGCCTGGATCTCGAATGAGGAAATGGGTGGGGAAGAGATTCTCTAACTCCATTATATTTTCTTGTTCCTGTATTCAAGCCCTAATTTGCATTTTGTGGCTGTCCCCCTCTCCCCCTTTCCCTGACTTGGATTTGCAGTCAGTGACTGAAGAAATTATACTGCAGTGTAACGAAGGTTCACCTGTCATGTTCTATTGCGCCCTGGGCTTTATGGGTTTCCTAGCCACTGTCAGTTTTGTTGTGGCGTTTTTAGCTAGGAAATTACCTGACAGTTTTAATGAAGCCAAGTTCATCACATTCAGTATGCTGGTGTTTTGCACTGTTTGGCTGGCGTTTCTTCCAACCTATCTGAGCTCCAAGGGAAAATACATGGTAGCTGTGGAGATCTTCTCCATCTTAGCCTCCAGTGCTGGGTGCTTGGGCTTTATCTTTTTTCCAAAATGTTATATTATTTTGGTGTGGCCTGAGCTGAACAGCAAGGGGCACCTGGTAAAAATAAAGAAGTAAGAAATCTATAACTCTGACTCAACTAGTTTTTTTCCCCTAAGACCATGTTGTTATTGTTGTTAGTTGCAAAGTCATGACTGGCCTATCGTGACCCCATGGACAATGTTCCTCCAGACTTTCCTGTCCTCTACCATCCTCTGGAGTCCATTTAAGCTCATGCCTATTGCTTCAGTGACTCCATCCAGTCACCTCATTCTCTGTCGTCCCCTTCTTCTTTTCCCTCAAACTTTCCCAGCATGAAGCTCTTCTCCAGAGAGTCCTTCCTTCTGATTAGGTGGCCAAAGTATTTGAGTTTCATCTTCAGGATCTGGCCTTCTAAAGAGCAATCAGGGTTGATCTCTTCTAGGACTGATCGCTTTGGTCGCCTTGAAGTCCAAGGGACCCACAGGAGTCTTCTCCAGCGCCATAGTTCAAAGGCCACAATTCTTTGGCACTCAGCCTTTCTTATAGTCCATGCACACAAATGATCAGCTGGCTAGTGTGCATGTGCACAAAGGAAACCAGAAGACAAGCTCTTCCGGTTTCTGGCACTGCTGCATGAACAAAGAACAGCTGATCATTGCACGGCTATGCCCGCTAAAAAAAACCAGAAAAGGAACAGGCAATGCCATGCATGGCAGCTGACATGGCTCTGCGTGCCATTTTGGGCATGTGTGCCATAGGTTTGCCATCACGGCTATAGATCAAGGAGTTGCACTGGAGAATAAAAACTAGACTCTCTTCCTGTAACTGTTTTTGAAACAGATCTTGTCTTTGAAAAGGATAGACTACCTGGAACAGATTGGAGTTGATTGCAGTAGTGATGGTTAATTATGAATATTTGTAATTTACTCCATATTGAATTTATTTTATATTTGTCTAGAAGTCTCTGGCATTCTGGATTTATATAGAAACAGAGACACAGAGAGAGAGAGACAAAGACAAAGAGACAGAGAGACAGGCAGACAAGCAGACAGACAGAGACAGAGAAACAGAGAGACACGAGAGAAAGAGACACAGAGAAAGAGACAGAGAGAGATACAAGTAAATACATGTAGACCTTCACTTACAATTTGTCTCTTAACAATTATTCAAAATTACAAAATGCCCAGAACTGGTGCTTTATGGCCCCCTAAAGCACATCTGGACATCATAAAAAGTTTTAACACACACACACATGCAATCACATGATTACGTTTCAGGCACTTAGCAACTGACTCACCTTTACACCATTTGCAGCATCCATACCATGGTCATGTTATTATGTTTTCAATGTCCCCCCCCCCCAATTTCTGGTAAAAAAAACCACCCACTCTGATTAATGGATTCATACTTACAACCATGCATTCATTTAACGGATGCTGCAAAATATTTCATAAAATCAGGTCTGAACACATAGGTACCTTGACTTATGACCATAACAACTTACAACTGGAAATCAGGTCCTAATTGCAGTTGCAAGTTGAAGACTAATTGTAACTCAGAAACTGGATGATTTAGGGAGTGTATAATTTCCTTGATTTTAATTTTTGTGTATATATAAACAGAGAGAGAGAGAGAGAGAGANTATATTGCCCTTTTGAAAGAGGAATCAGGTGAAAAGTAAACTTTGAATTAAAGTTAAATTGAATTAAAAAATGGAGAAAGAAAGAAGATAAGTTTCAGAACAGATGATCAACAAATACATACATACAAACAAACCCACACACTTGTGAAAAGTGTTTTCTGGTGTTCCCTTTTGATCTAGCTCACATATGGTTCAGATTTATTGATGGAGGAAAAAACCCAAGGAGTCTTTTTCCATCAGATGTTCCCAAGTGTGGCACTCCAGTATGAGGGTATTCTCAGGTTATTGCTGTATTTCAGCTGGACATGGGTTGGAGTGGTTTACCTGAATGATGTGAATGGAGAGAGATTCGTACAGGAAGTGCTCCCTGTGTTCTCCAAGAATGGCATCTGTTTTGACATCATACAAAGATTCCCACAGCTAACTCTATCTGTCTTTGTTGATCAAATGATGGAGGAGGCACTTGACACACTCTGGCGTATCAGGAAAAGCACTGCAAATGTATTCATAGTCCACGGTGAAATTCAGACCTTCTTTGTTTTGAGAACGGTACTTTATTTGTCAGAATTTGAGAGTGTACCAATGGCAACAAAGCTCTGGATTATGACAGCTCAAATGGATTTCACATCAATTCCATTTCAAGACGATTGGAACTTAGATTTCATCCAAGGTGCTTTGTCACTTGCAGTACACAGAAAGGAATTGGTTGGCTTCCAGAACTTTGTTGAAACCAGAAGTCCTAAAAGTAGAAGAGAGGATGGCTTCATCAAAGCTTTTTGGGAACAAGCTTTTAAATGTGTGTTCCCCATTTCTCTGGAAGACCAAGAGGGGAACAAAATCTGCACTGGGGAAGAGAAATTAGACTCTCTTCCTGCATCTGTTTTTGAAACAAGCCTGACTGCTCACAGCTACAGCATCTATAATGCTGTTCATGCAGTAGCTCATGCTCTGCACGATATGCATCCAACCAAATCCATGTTCAGATCAAGAACAAAGAGAGAAGGATGGAAACTTCTGCAACTCTCTCTGTGGCAGGTACGGTAACTGCTCACCAAGCTGAGCTTCTCAATGATTTTATGTACTGGTCTGAGCCATACCCTTACTGGGATTTGAACCTGGGCTGTTTTACTGCTTCCCTTTTCTGTCTTACGGCTCACCCTAGGAGCCATCCAGGCAGAAATCCATTTTTTATGTTGCCTTTGTCACATTTGTGTTGCAAGTCCCCCTTTATTTATTTATCAGCACAAATCCAACATATGTGTGTATATGCGTGTTGCAATTGTGCTGATAAATAAATAAAGNTTTCAATATGTTCCATGTATAAGTTTGTGATGATGGGTGAGAGGGGTAATCCCATAGGTGGTCCTTCTATCTGTTTGTATCTTTGTCCATTGTGGATGAAGTATGTGTTGGTTAGGCAGTGGTTGGTGAGATCTAGGATGTGCTTTTGGGGGAATTGTATTTGTTTTGGATAGCTGTCAAGGCTTCTTTAATAGTGTTGCTGTCCTTCTGGGTTCGACTCCAAGTGTGTTTAAGTAGCGGTAAGGACCAACTTCTATCAACGTCAACAGCTGACAGTTCAAAATTGTAAGATATCCATTTCTCTCACCGTAGGGTCCTAAAACAGCACTACCAACACATCTTGGCTTTGGAATTTGCTTTAAAGGAGATAAATGACAATACCAATCTCTTACCTAATGTCACCCTGGGCTTCCATATCTACAATAATGATTTCAGGGCGAGGACTATTTATCTTGCTTCCATGGAACTTCTCTCCACAAAAGACAAACTTCTCCCAAATTATAGATGTGATGCACAAAATGAACTGGTAGCAGTTATTGGGGGACCGAACTGTGATGTCAAATTCAATATGGCAACCATTCTCTGTATGTACAAGATCCCACAGGTAGGCAGTGAGGAAACAAATAGATATTGCAATAGACGTGCAAAACCCTTCTACCAGGTTTGAGATATTTTTGTTGTCTAGGAATGAGAAAAATAAATAGAAAGAAATTCAAGGACTTAATTTTAAAAGAAATTCTTGGTTCAGGGATAATAAGAATGAAATTCGTACCATCTATTCCTTTCTTTATGGAGCTATATTGTATTATGAAGACTAAGAGCAGTTCTGCATGACTCTTAGTCCCATTCAAGCAGCTCACTGCAGGCAATGAAGTTCCTTTATTATTATATCATATCATCCTGGCGCTGCCCAGGTATTTACCCCAACTCTCCTTCCATGAACATTGCCACCATTTCTAATGTTGGATTTTCCCCCTTACCAGAGGGAGCTCTCTTGTGGAGTACTGTGAAGTCATTACCATGGCAACTCCACCCTGCTGTGCAGTAGAAGCCATTTGATGGCAATATGGTAGAATCCATTTTAAGGCACAACAGGCTGTACCGAGGGGGGTGAGGAGTGTCTTAGCCCTAAAGTATTTGTTTCCAAAGAGTAAGAAATCTATGTATCAAGCATGTGTGTGTGTNATAATAATCAGGTATTGATCTATGCATAGCCATTTTAGAGCACAGCTCAGGGGCAGGGAGGACTGAGAAAGTGTCACATCATCTGGGGTGGCCTCCTTGTTTCTCCTTGTTTGGTGTTACATCATGTTTGAGCCTATATTGTATATGTTTGATGGAGGTTGCCTGGTATGGCTTATATTCCAAATTAACTCTAAACAACAGTGAGTGTAGGATTTTTGCCAGAGTGTAGAGATCTCTCCAGGGTGTGCTTCAAGGTTTCAGACTTGAAGGTTATGCCTCAACTCTTATCCAAGGAATATTTCTTGTTGGGTTCCATATCTAACTTAGGCTTAATCCATGGCTAACGGTGATAGCAATAGCACTTAGGCTTATATACCCGTTCACAGGGCTTTTATAAGCCGTTTAGAGAGTCAGCATATTGCCCTCAACAATCTGAGTCCTCATTTTACTGACCTCAGAAGGATGGAAGGCTGAGTCAACCTTGAGCCTGGTGAGATATATTCTTACCAGGCAACTCAGCAGCAGAAATGTAGTTGATTATTTCTCTTATTGAATGTGAGTTTCTGAGAAGCTGCCAAATTCCCAACTTCTGAAATCATACAGATACGTATCCCAATTCTGACACTGCTATGGAGCCAGGCAAAACTGTTTCCGGAAGGTAAAGCAATAAAAGAGGTCCTGGTAGACATTTTAGAAGAGGAGTTCTCGATGCTCTCTGAGCTTGCTCGATTTCTTGCAGATATTTCATTACTCTAACTAGGCAACATCAGCAGTGCTAGTCATTTCAAGAGAGCTTATGGTCTACACATTCACATTCCTGGGTGAATCTATGTGTAGTCATCCTCAGGTTCATTGTTTCTGAAACCAAATATACATGTGTGTGGGTGTGGGTAGGTTATGTATAAACAGTGGTTTATCTACGAGGTGTATATATATATATATATATAACATTGCCAAGACAATCGCAATCTTCCACGGGTATATACATATATATTTTCGTAGATTTTCACGG